AAATTTCATATTTTTATAAATAGGTTTTATTAAGAAAAAATTTCAAAATTAGTTGTTTTACATACTTTCAAATATATATTTTTGTTGATTCTAAATTAACTCTCAATTTAATAACAAGAATATCTGGGATTTGTCAATAAATTTTATTGTTAGTAAGAAAATTTAAATGGGGTTGATGTTTATTCCTCATTCTTTAGTTCCATGATTAAATAGAACAAAGATTTTTATGCAATGTAATAGTCATAAAAGAGAGAGCATAATTCAATATGGACACACTATAAAACAAACCATGTCTCAATTTTAGTTTAAAATATTAATTTAAACCTAAATGCAAATCTTATTTGAAAAAATATCGAAGTTTAAAGAAATGCTTAGAGCTTTAAAAGAAAAATAATCTATAATTGTATAGTTTAACAAAAGCAAACTGAATATTACAAAAAATTTTAAATTCCTATTACAGTCATTATGAGCTTGTAAAAATTAAGATTTTAACTTTCTGTCAAAAAGCTATTTTTTCTATTTTCTATCCACCAATAAAAAACAAAATCAATTCAAACATTAGCACAAAATATTGCAAGTGAAATTTAATAGCTTTATGTATCTAGTGGCTTAGAGTTAAGTCTAATATTATATTGTTGGTTTTTGTCACAAAATAAAAATCACCAAACGATAACCTCCAATTTTTTTATCAAAGATAAATTTTAAATAGTGTTATGAATCTAAAAGTTTAAATATGGATTTTTTTGAATAGAAAAATCAAAGTAAAATTAATCTGAACGCTTAAATGTGATTGGATTACAAGAGAAAATGATCTTTTATTAAGTGACAGCAAGCAAATGAGATTTTCCGGTGCTGGTGTGCGCACGGAAAAAGGGATAAATTCGCTCGCCCTCGACTCTCTGCGGACGTTCGCAGTTATCGCGCGGTGCGTGAGGGCCCAGTTTTTGCTGCTGCAGTCACGTTGCAGCAGAGCGAGGGCACCGGGGCACTCGAGAGCAACACTGCAAATTGGCTGACGCTTTTATATTTCATAATGTAATCGTGCTGCCGTAAGTAGCAAACGCGCGCGCGGCTTTTCGCTGCACACAGCAGTTAGCTGCGTTAAATGGCACAAAAGAATTTTCTTCAGCTGGATTTATTACGCACGAAGCCCCACAGGAACTAAAGCAAATGTAAACAGGCAGGATGACGATTTGTCACTCCCGGATTAAAATTCATTTGGCGAAAATGCAGTATTTTTCATTTCAAACGTGTAAAAAAATTAAAATATAATTTTTAAACTTACATAATTATTATATTAAAATTTTTACGAATGATTGAATTAAATGTGAGGTTTTGCCGACTTTTTTAAACCACAATCAATCTATTTTTGTTCCACCTATATTTGTTGAACTCGTCATTTTGTATTTGAATACATTTTTTTTAGGTTTGCTCAGTAACAACAGATTACGTGCAAAAAGTTTTTTGTGGCTCATTCTCTGAACGCAAAATTAGCGTGTAAGACCAAAATCTCCTGGTGACATAAAATATTTATACAAACAGCTTGGCGTTGAATGAAAATTTGCGAGAGTGCGTGTCGACTTGTGCCGAGCAAGAGCCGCGGCGCTGACGTCACTTTGCGGCGATATTATCATACAAGTACGTGCATTAGGTGTTGATGAAACAGAGAGAGAGAGACGCGAAATCTGCCTCGAAATCTTCCCGGGGCCTGTTGACGCCGCTGCCAAACGGCCCCCGAAATTAAGCAAGGAGGAGTCGCTCGCTCGAATCCCGGACTGGGTCCCTCGGGCATTTTGTTTTTCGCTCAGATTTGCATCGAATTTGCATGCGGAGGCGACAATGTTTTGCCAAACGCAATGACTGCCAGTAGCTCAGCTCGTTATTTATTTTGTTTGCCAAGTTTAACACGCTTCTTAAATTAATTAAGTTCGTCAGAAGAACTAGATCATGGACATTAATGAGAAAATTATCTGACAAGAGATAAAAGTGATCTTTAAGATAAAAATGATCAAAAATCCGGCTGAAATTAACAAGTAAATGATAATATAAAGCCAAAATTTTTAATAAAATTTTTTTTATCAAATTTAATAAGAAAGAAATAAAATGTAAATTGATTGAGCATATTAATTTTGATTTTTCAATATGTATTAATAAAATTTATATTTTCTTACCTCATTTACAATTAAAATATGATAATAAAATATAATTTTAATATTAAACCTAATTTTTTGGAAATAATTTAATGATTGATATCAATCTCAAGCAGAATTATTAAGTTTATACACCATAGAGCACAATTAATTAATGGAATGCATTTAATCTTGATATATTTAAAAATAAAAAGATTAAATTGTAAATTAATTTATCCTCTGACAATAGTCACGCTAGCCAGTGAAATTTTCTGGCCCTCTTAGGGCAGAAAAATCCTCACCATAAACGCTCTAAATAGGAGACTTACCTTGTGGAGAGTTTCACGCTTCTCCTCCAAATTTGCGCGCATCAGCATGCTTGAAATGGACTTTTGAAGGTTCTTGACGACTCCAGCACAGTTAAAATCAAGAATAAAAGCACCTTCATGACTATAAGCATGGTTTATAAGGAGATCTGTTTTAGAAATCCACGTATTATTGGCAAAAAACAGATGTTTTGTTGACAAACACGCCCCCTCCCCCCCCCCCCGATTCCCGACACATGATAAATGATTTTTCCCTCCCAGAAATTAAACCTCATGGTTATCAAGCCACAGTGCCATTTTAACGCTATTTTCTTCCAATTAACTTTTGAAAAGACCTTGAAAGTGATTTTAACGTGCGTCTTAAGTTTTGTTAAATGATTATGTGCGATGAAAAGTCAACGAAAGCTGCGGAAATCGACGATAAAATAGCCAAATTCACTGGATCAGGGCCAGCAAGGGTGAGATTTTAGCACTTTTTACGGATTTTTCCCGATTTTTTTTCTCCCCGTGAGATTTTCCTGCCTTATGAGGGCGAGACAAAAACCACCCTCCGCGAAATTGTATAGTTTTAAATTGTTCCAAGTTGAAAATATCAAATTTCAGGGGCTGATCGATTTTACTGTGCCGCTGTTTAAGGAGAAAGCAATTGCGACGAACTGCCCCTTTAACTTTCAAATTAAGTTTTGTACAATTGAAAAATATGGTACACAGTTTTACTCTGGTTTTTCTGAAGTTTGAAGAAAAATCTGCTTAAATTGAATCCATTCTTTGTTATTAAAATTGTAATTTAATTTCAATTCCCCAGTAACCGTTCAGAAGTGAGAAAAATCGCTATCTGACATGATTAATCGTGTTGCGGTTGCACTAACCGCTCATGTCTCCATTTTGCGGCCGTCCAATAATTCTCTACACCAGCATTTCAATTTACTCGTAATTGAAGTTCATCCCCTGCATTATCTCGAACGCAATCAAATCAATTCTCGTGAAACCCAAATCGGAGAGAATTCGGCAATTTTCACCCTAATTTAATTCTGAATTTTAATATATTTATTTTTATTTTAAGCGCCAGATGATTCTTGGTGCACACGGGTGTGTCAAGCGGCCATAAATTGCTCCACCCCAGGGCCATAATCAGGTCATAGAGACATCAATTTCACACCCCCATTGAGCACGACGGACTGAATGACACATGACTGCTGTTCATTTATTTTTCCTCGCGCTCCGCCGGATCGCTCTGGGACGCAAAAGCCGGCGGCGCTGTTTTTGTAACGTGCGCCCTTTTCACTTTGAACGCCATCGATTTATCACCGAATTAAAAGAAACGCCGCTTTTCAAGCAATGCAAGTTGAATCAAGAGGAATTTTTTATTTTCTGATTTTAGATCCATGAGAATCAAAACTTTCTCGAAGGCAGTAATTTTAATTTTTTATTGCACGTGGTGTTTGCAACAAATAGTCCATTTGCGGTCAGCATATTAACGTTTTTGTTACGACGTAAACTTTTAATACAATTTTCCTCCGACGGCATTCAACGAAATTTCCAGCCGTTCAAACCAACTGTTACTGCCGTCGGCGAGTTGCATATCATTAAAGGCGCACAGCCGGGGATGCGCGGGCCATAAAATTTTACTCAGCCAGTCGAAAACGATAAATTTCACTTTCGCGGAATTGATTTTGCCGGAAAAGAATTGCTTTTGCTCGGTATTTATAAAGATCCAGTTCGGAATTCGCTGCACAATCAGTGTCTCCGCGCATGGCGCTCCATTTTCCCTCAAGTCTAGCAGCCGTGAATAATGAGTTCGATGCCTGCTCGGCTGAAAAGAGTTCACTATCGCGATGATAAATTGCGCTTTCTCGACGCTCACGACGGAGAAAAACTCGCCGAACAAGTTGAGATGAATTATCTAATTGATGCATAGAAGATACAAGATTTTTGTCACGCTGATACGGGATGGCTTGAGCTGTTATTAATGAACGCGCACCCTGACAACTATCCGGCTCCATCCTTTTATATTATATTCACAAGATTTAACTGGTTTTTACCAAGCTCTCTTATATTTTATTAAAGAAAAACTCAACACAAAGATTCAGAAAAAAACAATTTATTTTAACTCTATGCTGGATTTGAAATTAAAAAATTATTTTATCCTATACAAAATTTTGTTCCTGTAATATTCAGTCATTGAAATTATCTATACATCGTCTTCATATATATATAAAAGTAAAATAAAGTTGATGGTGAAAAGATTATTTTCTTAAAGATGGAATAATAACTATAAATAGCATTAAGTAAGTTTGTCTTTTTAAACTCTTGTGATTATTATTTTTGTGTCTGTAGAATGGTGCAAGAATTATTGTCCAGTCGTATATAAAATGCTCTGAAACGTTAATTAAATTAATCTTTTAACATTTTGGAGATTATATCAAGCGACCTAATTTTGAAAAGAGTATTTTCACTTCAGTCCTGCGTCCTGAAAATATAATTATTTAATTGCTATATTTCTTTCAAATGATTTTACTAATGTTTTTTTCCCATTCTGTTTCAGTCAAGAAAGCAAGATATGTGGGAGTGCAAGGTAAGTTACGAGGCAGCAAATCGGTGCCTTTTGTTAATACATTATTCCACTCTCTTTATGCATTCGTCGGCGTGTGTGTCTCCGCGGTTGCTGCTGGGTTTTTTTTGTTCGCCGTGAATATTTGATAAGCCTGTCAGGCTGTTATTCAAGGGGTGCGTGATGCGGTTTGATTGTGTGGCGCGCGACGAACACGTTCGATTCACAATGCGGAAAACAAACCGGGCTTGACTGCTGAGGTTGTGCATGCGTGCGCCTCACCCAAGAATTTAGCCCCAAAGCCGCGCGGATTAGCGCTCTTGTGAAAAGCGAAACTTTAGCCCCGACAAGCAAGCCTCTTTCAAAAGCAAGCGAAAATTGCCGAAGCCACTTTTGCGAGTTCATGCGACTGGCCGCTAATGAAAATGTTGACGGCATCTTCGGTAAATAACAGCTTTTGTTCTCCGAAAGCGGTTGAAGGCTCGGAAGCACCGCTTAATTTTGCCTAAACTTGGTGTTTAAAATTTACAGTAATTCTACAGGAGTTTCGATTGCTTCAAACAAAAATGGCTTTGATGCCCATGTTTAAGGCGCAAATTGTGTTTTTCTAAAAAAAATCTTTAATGAGCTAAAACATTTTAAAATTTGTTGATCCTTAAATTTTAGTAGTAGTTAATTAATCACCAAAGCAAAAACAAAATTTTCAGTTTTATGTAATATAAATTTTAAATTATCATGCAATAAAAAGAAACACTTTTTTATTCTGAAGATTATAAAATTTTCTTTATCAAGTGATCGTATCTGCATGAAATCGATGAGGTAAATTGAGCTCAATTGTGGTTATTGTTATATTTCCACTAAAAGTCATCGCAAAAGAGGGAAAAAAATATAAAATAAGCATAAAGGGGGACATTTTAATATAAATATTGTGAAAAATTTCCAGCGTAAAAATTAAAAATTCAATCTTCAATAAAGTTTGATGCATTCGAAATGATTCTTTGAGATAATTTGTGTTACGTTACCCCCAGTTACCCCCTTAATCTAAATTTAATCTGTCTTTCTTTGAGTCGGGACATAATGTTTAAAACTGACCCCGAAAATTACACACAAACTCTATATGAGATGAATTGCGCTTTCATCCAATTTTCCTTTTTTGTGTTGCTCGCGACCCAAATTCCAGCTTCTCTCAGCATTGAGGGGAAAGACGCGGGGGTTGAAACCGCGCGCTGGGCAAAAAGCGGTCGGGCTGCGTTGGAAACATTTTGCCAACCTTGGGCTCCGTAAGTGGGTGTGAAGCGCAAGCTTGTACCAAAGACAAGAGAAAAAGGGCCAAGATTTATGACCCTTACAAAATTTTGTGGCTCTCTCCTGTTTAGCCATTTCATTTATCCTCGGCCGGAGCAGGGCAGAGTAGTGCGTGGCAGGACACGCTATTTTCGCCTCCTCCCTTGACAACCTCTACACCATTTTGCGTCATTATCTCCGCAATGGAAACATATAGACCGTGCCATAAACCACTTCTTTTAAAAATTGGTTACACGTCAGATTTTTTTTGCAGGAATGCTTAGATTTTTAAAATTACTTCGGGGAAAAACCGAGGGTTTCGGGATATTTCCAATCTCAGATTTATTATGTTACATAATTATTCGATTTTTAGTTTAACGTGTAAAATCATCACGGCTCATTTTAAGTTCTAAGTTTGTTGGGGAGTTTGGTCAAGGCTCAAGGCTCTAATTTTTGTTCTAAATAAATTATGCAGTAGCAGAATAAAAATAAAAGAAGATAAGTATGCGTACAAGAATATTTATTTAAGGGGCTCCATTTTTTGTTGGCATTTTGTGTTAATTTTTTTTAATTAGAATCTAAATAAAGAACTTTATTTTGAGTAAAAAATACTGTGGGCGATTAAAAAAAATCAGTTACGATAGGGGTAGAAAATTGTACATTATATTTTATTTTGGGATTGCATACACCATTTAATATTTGCTTTTTTTGCTTCTAAAAAGTATTTTAGAAAACATAATTTTTATTTAAATGAAACAAATGCGAGTTTACAAAAAATTAAATGTCACTACAACATGATGATTTTCAGGAAAAACTATACTTAAATACCAATATAAAACATCATTTTAGGTTCAAAATAATAGTTGTTGAAGGCCCTAATTTCTGTTTAAAGTGAATCATGCAGTTCTAGAATAAAAAGCAATAATTATATAAGGTATGCATGAGAATGCTTCATGTGTGCCAAGTATAATGCGCTTATTGCTGTAAAACATTTAGTCCACTCCATAATTCCAATCTGTTGAGCTTTAATATGAATATTCTTTGCCAAATTTATGACTCGCCGCGGATAACACGACGCGGTGAATTTCACCACGGGATATTTTAATCAGTTGTAATTGGAGCCAATCCGCTCGGCGCGAGGAATAAAAGTGTCGGGTTCGCTCTGCTGAAAGGGTTGGAGACTTTTAAGCAGCTTCACTTTCGACGCCGAAAGCTCATTAAAGCGGACAAACCTCATTAAACCGGCCGCGGCCAAGTGCAAATCCGGGCCAGGGGTTGAATTACCGCCGGATTAAAGGGCGGCGAATAATTTGATATATCAAACCCCAAAGCACGTGTAGCGATTAACAAAAGCAGGCAGCCGTACTACCACATTATTTTGTCTCGCGCGCGCGAAAACAAACAAATAAACGCGGATCCACACACACACGTCGGCGGAGGGTGCAAACAGCGGATAATGAGTTTCTTGTGCGACTTTTGTTCCAGCTGCACAATTCAACTCGTACTGCACGCTCAAGCTCCAGAATGTGAAATCCACGACTGTAACCGTGAAAGGTGCCAACCCTTGTTGGGAGCAGGATTTCCTCTTGTGAGTACTTTACGGCCTTGTCGCGCGCATTTTTCTCACTTTTGTATCATTACCATGTATGTCTTTCTCTGACTGCTAAATTTAGCAATGGTTTTATCTCTCGCGCTATTGTTAAGTTGAGCTGAAAAGTTTCCTTTTGTGTGGAATTTGGTACGATATTATAGCAATAAATATGAATAGAAAAACTTCCATATAATTACATTTCAGCCCACTGCAGGATTATAAATCTATGGAAGATTAGAAAACTTAATTATTTTTTTAGTCTTACCAATAATTAAAAAAAGTGTATGAAGTATGAAATATTGGTTTTTGTTTTTGTTTTTAAATAATTGTTATTTTAAAAACGCAATATATTATTCTTTTAATAAATTCATATTTCCTATTATTAATATTACTACTATTTATTATTTAATATTAATTAAAAATTTTAATTGTACGCACTCTATTGCCAGAAAATTCAATTTTTTTTTATCTCTCATACTTTAGCTACATATTTTTAAATTTATTTTTATTTTTTATATATTTCCTGGATTCTATCCATCTAGGATTATGTGAAATATAAATGTTTATTGGTACATACTTGGTGTTCATAATTATAATGAATGGAAAATAATCCCTAATTATTTACATCAAACAAGTTTTCAATTTAAAATTAAAAATCTCCCAATTAAAGGACGAGTCTTTGAATCTAAAAATAATTGATGTATTTTGTTAATTTCTTCCGGGTATATATTAGAAAAAACCTGCAGTTTTGTCCAGCTTGTTTTGCTCTTATTTGTGTAATGAGCTTGCTTTTTTACAAAATTAAAATTGCAAATTAAATTATAGTTTGCGGCAATGCAGAGAAAAATAACAGCTGGGAGCGAGCGTCGACCATTTGTATTAATTTGTGCAGACAGTTTGTTGCTCTCTCGTTTGAAACAAAACTGCAAACAATAACAGGCGTCGCGGAGTGCGAATAATTAAATATCGCGCTCTGGCGTCACCCTAAATGATTAAATAATGCGCGCGTGTTGCTAATTTAGTGTGTGTGCATCAGTAATTGGGACGCGCCCTAAATCTCTATTACGCTCTTGTTATTGCAGCGAGACCAACGATGTAAACACGGGTCTGCTAATTGAAGTGTGGAGCAAAGGAATGATCTGGGACCGGGCCCTCGGCTACAACTACATCCCGCTCACCGAAGTCCAGTATTCCAACGAGGTAAGTCTTGCATGCAGAAACTTTTGTCCCAAGGGAGATGCTTTATCTTTTGAGCCTGGAATGAGCAGGTCTTGATGATTTTGGGGTATAGAGAATAAAATTGTACACCTGGGTTACGTCAAAGCTTCCTCATGGAGTATAAAAATGCAAATATAGTTGCAAAGTGCCTATATTGATTGTATCAAATATACCAAAATTTAGTTTCAATTTTAGCATTTAAATTTCAGTAGACCAAAATGTAGAATTTCTAGTCCAGCATTTTATTTCAATAGCTTTGATGAGAACTATTTTATTTAATTTTTTGAAGCACGGTAAAAATTATTTTCAATTAAGATTTTTTTTATTTTTAAATGGATTTTTAATATAATAAATTTCAAATTTGCATCACTTGAATTGCAGGTTATTCAAATTTGTACTTTATTTATGCCTGATCAATGGCTCAATGGCACCATGACATAAATGATTAGTATGAGTCATAACATGCACGAAAGTCGTAAATTCGGCGACAAAACACAGGGTTGATTTTGCAAAGCTATGTTTGATTTACGGAGTTGCCCTTTCGTGTTAAGTCTCCCCGATAAGGGGCAAAAACCGGCGTTTCGTGTCACTTGAAAACGAGAGGACTGCTCGATAACCATTAATTTCACATGAAAAGCACTACTTTTGACCAAAAAAATGACGTTAACCGCAGTGCGTTCCGTTGGTTTCTAAAACTCGCGGTGATCAACAAGACTCGAAGTACACTTTTTACAGAGAAAACCAAAAAAGGAATAATCAATGCATATATTATTGTCTTTTTACGGATTTTTTTGGGCAGTCGCATGACAAGAGGACGTCTGGCGTTCAAATGAATACTCTTGCAATGTCTACACGCACCGCTGTGCCATTCCAGCCCTTAATTTTGAGCCATTAGCATTTTTATGATCGCTTTTATTCCGGGCAGAATGTTTAGGATAATTGCTTTTTTATCCACCAAATGAACGATAAGCTCATATTTTTCTATTCATATAGATTGTAAAAATATAGCTAAATACGTACAGGATTTATCGGATTTATTCTTCATACGTCTACTCGCCTAAAAATGTTTTGAAACTTATCAATATTTAGAGCCATTTCATCCAGTATTAAAAAAATTCTCATTTGAATAAAGCAATAAATTCAGATTTTTTTAAAAAAAATCTAATATTTATTTATTTACAAATTATTTCGAATTCTTTATAGATGGTGCAGATTCATGAGACCACACTTTGGTCGCGGCATTAAACCATTTTCAAGTGGGCTCTCGCTCAGTCAGTGGAGCACCCGGTTGAATTTGTATGTGTGCTCATACGTTTCCCTCCGGTGAGCCGAGCAGGGCTACTTTGCCGATGTGTTTACGGCCAAGTTGAGTGCTCTCCAAAACAGCCCCTGCGGATTTGCAAGGAAGAAAAAGTAACCGGGCAGGGACTCTCCACAAACACACAAGCCTTTTCTAAATTCATGCTCATTTGGTCCGGAGGTGACTTTGCTCATAAGTCAAGCGGACTTGCGAGGTTTCGCCCTGAAGCAAACTCGATTCTTTCTCTCCGCTAAATAATTCAATACAGGTTTTCATGCCGACGAGAAATTATCTTGTGACTGATGACACAATGAATCCCGGTTGTAAATGTGTCCATTAATGAATTTATAAACGCTTGACGCGCTGCATGGAAACGAGCACTGCTTTATTACACACACAGTCCGCGGACTCCGGAGTGGCAATAAACTGCATTTCCCACATTCCCAAACACACAAGCCAATGTCGTTTATTTATGAGCTTGCACCACATTCTGCCGTACACACGTGTGCAATGCGCGTGCGAGTTGGTAAATAAAAAATTCACCACCGCCAACGCGAATCAGAGAATTTATGGGATTGCAGTGTACACATCAGCAAGCCAAAACATAATGATAAATTTAAGTTCATATTTCAATTAAACAGCAATAATGATTCATTTTAATTTTAAAACCTTGCAAAGATTTGACAAATTTTTAACTTTATTAAAAAGTTGCAACTTTTTTTTTTAGAATATATATTTTTATTATTGCTGTTTATTTGTCCAAATTGTTACATCACATTGTTTACATTCAATTCAATTCAATTGTTGAAAACAATTTATTTGAAAAAAAAAATTGTTGGACAAAATGGCACCACTACTATGGCAAGAATTTTGCTAAAACTTCCTAGATCAATGTATTCTTTTGTTAACTTTTCGATAAAAATTTGGAGCGCTGTATATTATTTTATATTTTATTTTTTCAGCTAAAGAGAGGATAAAATCGTGTGAGACTGAACATGCAAAGTACTGTTATTAATAATGCATCAGAAGTTTTTCGACCCACGTCTAGCTCTCACATGTGGCATGCACGCCCAACGCAAAAAAACTGCTGCGCTACAAGTCTACAAACAAGCAGGGGTTATCAACCTGTTTTCCCGAAGCAAGTGGCGTGTCATTTTTTTATACATTTTAATTTGAATCTCGCCCTGTGCAAAGTTTGTCCTATTCCGGTTCTACAAGTATTGAAACAACGCCTGAATATTCATCACGCTCTATTTGCTGGTGCGTAACTTCAGGAAAGGAAACAAAGCGACGGCCAACGCATTTGCATTTTATCCGCCCGCAATTTAAATATTCGTGTTTATCTTTATAGACTCTGAGAAGTATGGAGTAATGTATTCGCATGCGAAAATCGTTTCAATACACATATTATGTAGCCGGAAATATCCCACAATTTTCAATTAAGGCTTTTTGTAATTATTTAATTACTTAAAATTTTAATTGAATATTCTGAACAAAGGGTACACTTACGGCATCTCAATACCAATTGAACTTAGTTTTAGTTTTCTTAATATAATTTATCATATTAAAGAGTTGGTGCAGTGATATTTATTGAAAGCTGAAAATTATAATTAAAACTAAAGCGATTAAGATTAGAAAATTTATTTATTTATACTTAATTGCAAAATTGAAAGAAGAACAGTAACAGTTTATTAAAACATTTAAAAATGAGCTTTATTTTCAAATTAAAAATAAGATAATACCCCGTTTTTGTAATTTTCATTAACATTTTTACTTGTAAATTAATATCATGATGTTTTCTTTGTAGATGAAACAGTATAAATAATTTTTAATATTCTGTTAAAATGACCAACTTAAGTTTAATAACCGCACGTATCTATTATCATCTTCCACAAATTAAAAATAAATTTAATTCGATCCAATCAATACTCGTGATGTAATTGTTCTTATTTAAAACAAAAAAATTAAACTATGCAAATTTTAAAGACATTTATGACTGAAAATTATCACTTAAATGAAAAACAGAAAAACTTACAATTAGCCGGAGCAAAAATTTGCATAACTATAAGTTTTGAGAAAGGACCTTTGCATGTACGGATAATTGTCGCCGAGCTACCGCTTTGCCAAAAGTCCAATTTTGTGCAAGTCTCTCGCGGCATATTTTATGCTAATGGCGGGGCCTTTGACAAGCTGAGCATGGAGCGAGTGGGACAGAAGCTCTCTTGGCTGTACTAGCGTCATACCTACAAGGCCTAATATACATACACGGAGCGATAGCTCTTACGAGGGCCATTATGCATAGCGCAGGACCAAAATCACCCCGAGTGCTCGCCAGATAAGCAGCGCGCCTCAGAAAATTGATTTCGAATAAAGACACCCACCTGCTCTGCAGACGTTTTGTACTTTTTTATCCCCAGCGAAAGAATGGAAAATAAAACAGTCTGCTCTGCGGAGAGGTTACATACTCAAAAGTCTCGGCATTAATGAACTTTTCTGAGGATAAATCTCACGGGCCGTCGCGATATCAGCCGCTCTGTCTGACACGAGAAACCTTTTTGCGACATTTATCTTTAGTGCCTGCTGAGGAAGTTTTTTATGGTGCTCGAAATATCGGTTTAAGTGAAAATTTATGGCTCGGGTGGATTGACATTTTCGCCTCTCAACAGCAACTCTGACTACATCAACTTTTGTCAAACATCGAAAGATCAACCTCAACATACGATAAAATAGTCATTTACAGTTATCGCTGAATTGAGATATATAAAAATATTGTCTGCTCGTGAATACAACATAATTTGAATAAACTTCAATGATATTATTATAACTTTAACAGAACTTAATTTCATAAACCTAAAATTTCATGAAAAAAAATCATTTTATTATTACTAAATAAAATTAGATTTATTATAATATTGGAAAAATTTTTGTGACAACAAGTATCAACAAATAAGAAATTAGGCTAGGCGAAACAATTTGTCATTGCTTGAAAATGGTGCAAAATTTTTACTTATTGTTAGTGAAACAAGGTTGAAGTGAAGCAAGAGAACATTTAAGGAAAGGCGAAATTAAAAATTACAGAAGTTCCATTGTGGAATTATTTCCTTCTGGCTTATTAGGAAATTAAAAAGTTCAATTTTCCCAAGTTTATCCCATTTTGCTTTCCTAATTTGTAAGGGCATGTAATAAGCGTTGTTAAATTTTTCAAGCCCTTAAGAGACATTTTTCCATTTCAAGCAAAAATATACTGAAATTCAAAGTGATATTTTAACTGATTCTTTTTCACACCGATCTGTCTGTAAATTTATGTATTCCCATGTCTTGCTCAGCATATTTCTTGCAAAGCAATTCACTTTTGTTGGAGTGATGCACGTGCCTAATAAAATACATATTTCGCCTCGGCTGGCCAGACAATGCACGACGAGCAACAAAACTTTCGCTCAGGCCCAGAGTAAGCTGCTACTGCAAAATATTTTTTCGCTCGGGCACAAAAGCGAATGAAAAGCGAGTTTTGGCTGCAAACCAGCGTCTTCCAGACTGATGTATTGCGGAGCCAGACACGGCCCTCCAAGAGGTTGAAAAAAAAGACCGTTTGCAATTCCACTTGGCGTGCGAAATCAAACTGGACTCGTGGGTGCCGTCCAGAAAGAAAACTCGGTGCGAATTTGTCGATTGGCCGAAATTTATTATTTTGCAACACAGTCCGCTTTTTTCCTACACCAAAATAAAAAAGAAAGGTATGGCTTTATTTCTAGGCCAAAATATAAACCGTGGTGTGCGTGTTTGTTTGTTATTATTATGTTCATTTTTACACTTAGCGAGAGGCCAATAACTCCGACATGCAACCAACCGCTATATTTGAAAAACTTTTAATTTTATCATCTCGGGACCGCGCTGCTGTGGAAATGAAGCCGCACTTTGAACTTTTCGAAGGGAAAAATTGTATTGTGTATGTATTTCTGTTTCGTTTTATGTGGACGCAGAGCTCCACTTCATGTGAAAAGCTTTTTCGAATTACTCAAGCGTGATAACCTGGCAATAAAAATATAAATGTGCTCATACGAGGCCTTTTGATGTTGAAGATTTTGTTATTTGGGATGAAGCAACTTCCGTTTAAAGGTCACCCCCAAACATGTGTGTTGCACATTGAGCTATTTATTATTTTGTTCGTTATAAGTTATATTTCCTTATTCTATATATTTAAAAAAGATTATTTATGACATGATACCATACAAATTGCTCTACTTGCAATTCTATTCCATGGATTTATTAGAAAATAATTTTTTAATGAACTGTCATTATTCAATTCGCTAAATAATATTACAATAGGAATTGAAGAAAATCTGTATTAGCAAAACTTTTGAGATTCCTCAGCATCCATACAAGCGTTGAGTTTTTATGCAAATATTTTTATTTCACCAGACATTTGTTGATATAATGGTATTTCACGAGGACTTATTTGTTCTGTCTTTCTTTCTTTCGCAGGAGGGTTCCTGTCAACAATGGCTTGCACTAGAGGCTGAGCTGGTGATGCGAGATGGCGAGGTTGTCGGCACCAAAAATCCCACCGGCCACTCGTTGCTGGTCGACTGTCGCTTTGAGCTTCCATTTGGTAAGTGTGTCGACCCATTTTCCTTCCTTTTAATTTAATCGGCGTTGGAAAAGTTTTATATAAATAATATTTGATACCAAAACTTGTATACTAACGTGAATTTGACAATCAAAACGCTCCCTCACCCATTTCCATACAGATCTGTTCTTCTACTTCGCATGCTCGAGTTTTTTCAAAAAGCTGCTAACGCCCAAGAGATTTTGTACACATTTTTCGCTTTATTTATTTACTTTTTTTATGGAAAACACATAAGAAAGGAATTTCTCTGCGTAATATACTTATTCTTTATTGTGCTTGAAGAACATTTTCATAGAGGCACGTCTTGTGTTTTTCTGCATGCTGTAAAAAAGAAATGCAATTTTGGAGTTTGCTTTGTTTTCTGTACATATTTTTGCCATTTTTGCCACCGTCGGTCAAACTGCATTTATAAATATTCCACCAAGAGCTCTTGTAAGAATCCGCAGCGGAATTTTCTCAAACGCGAGTGCACTCTACTTTTGCATTAAAAGTTTCACAATTTTCTCTCATTCCACACGCATCTCTCGTCACGGAGCCATTTTTCGAACGAACTTTTGAGATTCTGAATTTATTTCCATTCTGATTGTATTGTTTCTGACAGTTTCTGAAGATTGAATCACACTCTGATCAAAAAACGCAACTCTTCTAATTTCACCAACACGTACTTTGCCTCCTCTCTGGTAATTTGGATTTTTCGTCTATTTTATATACTATTATTATATTACGAGTCTCTCCAGCAGTTGACTAGCATTTTTAATAAAATGTATGTACGTATTTTACATACTAGTGCTAGAGTCGCAATTTTCATAGCCTCTTTTATCTTACACCATTTCTGATATGATGCATACTTCTCTGTGTTTTCTGTAGTTCAAAATATATGATAAAAAACGCACTTATTTATTATTCTGGCCTAATCTATAAAAGCACAAAACCTGCAGAAAAAGCCTGTAGTGTAGAAGAAATATATTGATTTCTGATTATGCGATCGCTTTTTTCCTATTAAAGACTCAATTTTTATAATTTGATGAAAAGTAGAAACAAATATAAATATGATTTATTGTTGCTTCTATATGAATTATTAAAGTTGCATGTAATGGCTGCAAACTGCATAATTTTGATTTTTGACCCAAGCAGGTACGTTTTCTCTGCATCAGATTAGCACTCTTGATTTCGTTTTATTCGGGACGTTGCTTTCCAGCGGTCTGTTACTTCCACCGAGCGATTGTTGCTAAATTAAATTGAAAATTATGGGGGCAGCGACTGAAATAAATTCTCATATCATTTCGGATTTTTTGCTCCTTTTTGCACCTCTCTCCCCGTCTGGCGTTTCACCTCAGTCGCTCCTAATTAGCCTTAATTACGACTCACCTGCTCTCTTACAAAATGTTGCCTAACTTTGGTGATTACTCCTCCCACGTGCAAGCCACCTTCTTGTATCCATTAGCGGTCCCCTAAGAACTTCCATGCGAACATGGAATTTCTCTTCCAAGAGCAGTGCCATCAACATTATCACATCGTTTAGATAATTTTCCGATTTACTTTGATGATATATAACTTTATCATGGGTTGAAATTAATGTGTTTGCGTTTCCTTCGCTTAGAGTGAAATGAGTAAGCAAATATTCAATTGTTCTGGGTCAAGTTACACAATTATTTCTGGTTGAGAAATCAAAACTATAGGCGCGGTACGAAGATTTTTTATTTATTAACATTTTAGTGAAATCTGCAGCCTTGATTTCTCAACGCTTTTGATTGTAAACAAATAATTTATTTCTACAGCAATATTCACATTTATATAATTTGAAAATTAAAAAGCTTAATGCTAGAAAATTACACAGAAAGTGTTTTTTTTCTTCAGAATTTGTTTTTAGTAAAATTGAAAAAATTGTAAACAAAAAAAAGTAAATCAATATTGGATTTATTTGTTTTAATAAATATCACGAAAATACACTATTTAAATGTTTTTTTTTTTATAAATAAGCAAAAATTTGCAAAACTTAAATATTTTATACTTATAAAACTTAAAATCAGTTTTTCAATTCAATAAACTTTTAGCATCAAGCTTCTAACATACCACTCACTAAAGAAGGTTACTCCAAGTTGATTTTGGGTCAGTTGAATATATTTCAAAGCCCAATTGTGCGCAAAATAGTTTCATATTTCCATATCTTTTTCATCTGTCATGTGGCATTGTGTGCAGCAATATCATTTGTTTTGTTGGCATTATCACATAACGCAGGCCCTTCAAGTAAAGTACCTTCTGCATCACCCCGGCGTGCGTCTTCCGCGATGGGCTCCTCGAGGCACCATTCTTCACGCCAGCACCCGAGACGCACGCTTTCCGACGAAGGCGAAGACTTCGGCTACAATGACGCGCCTTACTACTCATTCCGTCCCCGCGCCCGCAGGCGACTGCTACCCCGCCTCAACCCCCGCAACATGAGGTCAGGTAGGCTGGCAAAGTCATCTGAACTCTCACAACACACCCTCTGTGCCCTCCCGCCGTCTCCCTCCCCCTCCGCCTGTGCCCTCACCCGCCCCTCAAAGGTCATTGTCCCCTTTCACGCAAAGGTGCTGCTCGTTGTGTTCAGACACACCACTCATGATTTTTGCCTCTTGCGTTGGTGGATTTTAATGCACAACCGTCAAGATCGGAGCACTTTCTATGCCCATATCCCATATTTTACGCTTCTTCTCGAGAATAAACTTTTTCCCTTTTGTTGGGAGATAATATAATTTTAATTCATTCGCTCTCGTTTGCAGCCATTTCGCGACTTTTATCTCACATTTTCGTTAAGGGGAGTTTTCCGTTTTCCATGACATGCAAATTTTCGGGTGAAATCCAAAAAGCCTCCCGGCACACTAAATTCTCTCAACTCGTGCAATTTTACGACGGAGCGTTTAGTCTCTCAACTTGGAAATAATTCGGCAAATGGAATTACTTTGAAGTGCGTGACCGCGCTGAGTTATTTTCATTAGCGCAGCCGTCGTCGTTTCGCTTTTATATGGAAAAAGAGAGTGTGTGCGCTTGTGTGTAAATATATATTATATCAAGTGAATGTCTCTGTTTTTCTGTTCGGAAACTACTTTTGCACCGCAGCGTCTATTTATTTTTTTTCTACTTTCCGTGCGTTCCTGCTTGTCATTCTCGCTGAGGTTGTTCTCTCGTTTTACTTCTTTTTCTCGATACACATTGGCTCAGAGCACAACACACGCCGAACACATTCACTCTCTCTGTAAAATGTTGTTAATGATTTACCTTTTTTCCTTTTGTTTCGGACGTTTCTCTGCAAAATGAATGCTGCTCTATTCTATTCTCTCTGTGTCACAAAACATAATTTTATAGCCCGCTTGCGGAAAGGACTTCAGTCGACTTGATGTTGTGATTTGTATGTCTTTCTGTGTGCATCGATTTTCTATGTGTTTCAATTTTACGTTTTAAAGAACATTTTGAATCAAAATAATTCCAGGAAATCTACTTAAAGTTTACTAAAGGCTAACTCTAGTAACAGTTTTAATTCTTGATGATTGTAGAAAAAAAAACATTTTTCTAAAGCACTATCTTGTAGTGGCTTCAAAACTGTTGTTAATTTTCGACACATTCCCATCAAAAGAATATTTTTTGAAATACAGAAAATTCATAACTAAATTTAGCTACTCGCTCAGCAGTTTACAATAATTTTTATGGAAATTTCCAAAGCTAATTTCATAATTCTGAATGCGGATTTATCAAACTCGATTTTGGATTCACTCAAAATAAGATTCATTATGCAAGAATGAAACCACTACTGGAGTTGGTCTTAAAAATATTTAAATCAAACCTTTTAGATAGATATAACGTTACCCTGTTCCCTCTTTAATATATCTGACAAGACGTTAATTAACAAAGAGTTGCTGACTCTGGCGCCGAGGTAAAAGGGCAATTAATTATAACGGGGTTTTTTTTTTCGAATGAACTCGGGGGCGTACGTGGTGGCCAGAAGTGCAAGAAGGGCGTCAGGAAAGTTGTTCTCTCAACGGGAAAGCCGAAATCCCTGGCGTGGTGTATAAAATAAGAACTTTCCCATCAATGTAACATGACCCAGTTGTGTGCCGTGTGTCCCATAAAAGCATCGAGTGACGTATGGCGAAAGATGAGATTTCCACTCAAGGGGGCGCAATATCTGACACACAATTGGATTATTTTCCCATAATTTTGCTCACCTTACGCCCTCGCCGTCTTCCCCCGATACGGACGTGGATGCTCCGCTGAAAAATGATTAATTTCCGGTTGGGCAAGTTAATTGCTTTACGCGTACGTCGAACGGGAATGGCACTTACACGTCATTTTGTTCCCCCTTTCAAATAATACAAATTTGTACAGTAGATGCATTGGAAAATGAAAATTATAACGCAAATGATATAATTTTAGTTCATATGAGATATTATTTTTTATATGGGAATATAAATTAAAATTTGTTTTCTAATAAATATGGCAGAACATTATGCATGTGCCGAAATTATCAAAGTAATTACTTTCAGCAGATATTAAGCTCATGGTAACTCAGCTTATTTCAAAATAAATTTTATATAAAAAAAACTTAATAATTAAATTAATCAGTATATTTTAACGAGTAAGTTACAAAAATGTATATATAATTGAAATAATAAAACATCAAAAACATAAAGCATAAAGAATTTTATTGAATAAATTAATAAAAATTTGAAATATACAAAAATATATTTATGATATATGGTTAATTAATTTAGGCTTAACATTAATATTAAGCAAAATCTAAAAAAAAAATCACTGTCATATTGAGATTGATAAGATTTTTGTTCCTTATAAAGAACACACTTAAATTTTTCATTTTTAGGCTGTTGAGGAATGCAAGAAATTCTAAATCCGTTTAAATCAAAGGAGTTCTCTTGTGTTATTTTAAACCAACCACGAACGCAAGAGACGTATAAAAATATTACAAAAGCCATAAAAAATTATTTAAGACGGAAGAATCGGTATGCAATTGGGACGCGATAAGGTGCCGACGCCTGCCAATCTATGTACACTTACTTCTTCTCTGCTGCCACCAGCAAAACGTGCATGCAAGAAAAAAGCCTTTTTTGCCACGGCCAATTGTGCCCTGGCGAGAACAAAAACGGCAGTCGCGGGCCCACGCAGCGTTAATCTATTCATTTTTGCATGTCGCATATCTGCGAATGAAATCGCGCCGTGTAATGGATGTCAAGCCGCCCACCCGGCCGCTCACATCACGCGCCCACCACCGAGCAACCCCTAGCTTTTATCGGACCAGACTGGTCCTTTTTCGCCCCGGAGATTAGCGACGGTTTGCACAGGCCCTGTATTTCCGGCAGTCGGACTTTCGGGAAAGCCGCGCACGCTGCACGCACGACTGACAAAAAGCAGCAAGGGACTTGCCGGCGTTGCGTGCTAATCAAATTACAGGCTGTAATTAATATTAGTCACATATAGGCGCTGAATTGATCTGTGGACACGGTGACGTGCTAACAAAGTCAGAATTTTTGAGTAATGGGGAAGTGAAAAAAATTAATAATTTTAAACAATAAATTTTTTTTAAGACAAATAATTATAATTTCTTGGGCTATTTTTTATTTATTGCACAGTGGAAAAATTGTTTTAAGAGTTTTTTTTAAACTTATTCTTTATTGCTGAATTTAAAATCAAATTTTCCTGGGTGGGTTTAAGTATTGTTTATTGTTTCATAGATAGAAATCCTGCTCTACACGATTCTGTCCAAATTTTTTTTTATAAAAATTAATGAAAAAAAATACTCCTTGATAAACTTTCCTAAGTGTAAAATTATAACTAAAAATAATTTTTTTATGTAAATAATATCTGTTAATTTGATAAAACAGTTTTATAAAATGATTTTATGTACACATTCTTGTCAAAATAATTTCGCAACTAACGAATTATGGAAGCAGCCAGCAGTTGATATAAAGCAGGATATTATTTTTTTGTAGGAAAAATTAAACAAATAAAAACCCATGGCCTATTGACTTGATCTCCGGTGGTCACCTGCTTGTCCTAGTAGTTTTTTTAATATATCAAGTATACATGGTTTACGTCTTTTATAATTGTAATTCCTATCAGTTTCTCTATTAAATTTAATGTAAAACGTTAAATTGTTCTTTTTTATTAACTAAAAAAAATTTTAAACCAAGAAATATTGGAAAAACAATTAAAATAATTGAAGCCTTATGTAATTCCCACATTCAATTCGAAAATATCATGAAGTAAGCTTTGTTTAAAACATCACACTTTCTGGAAGTTTCTCTCAACTCACGGCGTTGCTGTTTGCCGCAAGATGTACGTCACTCAGGACAATTTGCACTCCTTCTTGGCGCAATTAATTTGCTCGCGGCGCGTTTTTCTTTTTCGCGTGTTGGAACGCGGCGGAGCATCCAGCGGTCGTCGTGCGAAAGTACATTATTTCCAGTTCTTTAAAAGGCAAAACAAGACTTAATTTACAAGTTGTGCATGCAGACGCTAATGTTCTTGCGGTCTGCCTCTACGCGCGTCCCTGGTGTGCGTTTCTCATCCTCGTTGGATTATTATCGTTTGCTGCGTTGTTTGTTTGCTTCCCGTACTTACGTACGCGTGGTATGCGCCCCGGTGGACGCGACCCTGTAAGTGGAACAAATAACGAGGAGGTGCGGAAGCGAACGCAAAATTCAATTTGCCAGACCACCATGGAAATGCCACGTCGTAATGGTGTTTCATTTTTATCACGAAAACTACAGCAACATTTTGAAATTTTCAAAATTATGAAATTTTACGGCTCTAGACCTTTGCAGCAAAGATTTCGTTCTGCAAAACGCAAATTATTCTCAACAAAATTTTCCTTCAGTAAGATTTTTAATTTTGTATAAATTAATAAACATTTGAATTATTGCAATTTTAAAATATTTTCCAAGTTCAATAAAGTTTCTAATTTTTTGTGTACAGTGAATTAATTGAATCTATAAATTTATCACTACTATCCGCTAATATTTATAAATTAAAATTATGACATTATTAAGAGTGACAAATTATTTCCTCGTTTGAACATCGAAAAGGCCTGACTATTATTTTTTCATTCTTTTAAATTTGATCAATTGATTCAGTCCCAAAGAATTGATTAATTTCAAATGTATGAAAATTAAAACTTAATCAGGTATTAAAGAATTAAAATTTTAATCAAATCTAGTGTCAGTAGAATTATGTAGGCGTTAATTTGTATTTATAGTATAGTGAGTAAAAGTAGTTTACTAAGAAGGTTGCATGCATAACAAGTAGAAAATTGCGATGCACTTGGCGAATGTGCACCAGAGCAAGCGCAGCCTAGTCCCTCTACTTTTTTCCTGCAGAGTCGAGAGTTTTTTTTTCCCACCCTCGTATTATGAGAAAGGCACATTTTATACACTCGCACGGTTGTGCAAGAAGCAGGTTCTCTGTGCACTTAAGTGTCGTGCCGCTTGTGTGAGCTTCTTTTACGTAGCTGTCTTTTGTCCGACCCGGCGTGTGTATAATTGAGCCTAGCGCCACGCTATCGAGCAGTAGTCAGAAATATTGCAACCCCGGTAGCTATGCAACCGGTTGGTCGTACTCGCTGAGCCGGTCGCATAACCAGTAACAAGTAGCAGTCCGTCGCGCGATTCGGATAAAAACAATTGGATTAAAACTTCTAAAGCTATAAAATTGATGCCAATTCTATTTTTGCTCCGCGTTCGATGAAACTTGTAGAGCCTAACTCACCGTACCAAGACCTTTGATTAATCGCCCTGTCATTTTCTATTACCACTCTAGATCCGGAGAACACAGGCGCTGCGGATCTGCAACGCAAACTTGAGATGCTCAATAACGTTATGGACCAGGAAGCACGAGCTGAGCAGGCTCGAAGACAAATGCAGTACTACGGGCACTGTGAGTAGCGTTTGACCGCTAAATTTATTTTTAATTTTTTTTATTAATTTTATTTTCGTTAAAATACTATATTTTTTTAAGTGGCACTCACCTCGTTTTATTATTCTAGAGCTATTTTAATGTAATTGTTAAATTTGAATAAAGATTTTTAATTTTATGATATTTATAATAGATTTTTTTAACTGTAACTTGTAGCAATATTAAATTTGAAAAAAAAATTCGTCATAAATTTAATTCATTTTGTACATCAAAGGTTAAATGTAAATCTTACCTAATTAAAATTGCTAAAATAATGAATAAAACTATTATTCATTTTTTGAAAAAGACCCCTCTCTGTCTTTTCCTTAAGATATTAATTGTATTTATTTTAACTCCAACCCACCTTGTAATAATCTTTTTTCAAAAACTTTGATCTCCTCCAATTTCTTAACTTTATAAAAAATTTGGTATTTATATATTGCTCTCATGTTTCTATTTAATTTCTGATTCTTTCATTTTGCATGACTTTTATTTTTCTGTTTTCTTTCTTTCCGTTTTTCTTCTATTTGTGTGTGTCCGGGACGGTTGACTAACTCAGTGGGGGTGGCTGACTGCGACACAGCCGGCTACTCGGAGGACAGCGACTACACGAGTGACCTGAACTACCCCGTGGGCCAGCACCCCAACTCGTCGGCCTCGCAGTTCCGGACGGCGGCCCACCAGATGCACACGCCGCAACGCTCCCTTGAGACCAGCAGGGAGAACTCGTACGAGCGGGACGACGCGCCCGGACACCAGCACGGCAGAGCCGCCAACTCGACGGCGCACGAAAACTTCCCCGCAGAGTCGACCGACCCTCTTTACTACAACAGCCGACCCAGGGGTTACAAGGAATACAGGTGAGTTGGCCATAAATATTTTAGCAAGGGTATTTTTAGGAATTTGCTAATTTTGGATAGCGCAGTTTTATTGATTAAGGATTTTCTTGCAATTTAAAAGTTCAATAAAACCTTAAATCATATCAGAGGATTCATTTAATTATTAAATTTTAAAGCTTTAAAAAAAAATTGATTGTATTTTTTTGTATTTGTATTTATCTGGAGGTAATTAAAATTTTTTAACCATCAAATGTTTTACTGCTTTGAAAAATAACACTGCGCTGTCCTAAGGGCTTAGGGGGTTTTACGGATGCGAATTGGTTTCACGTGTTAAAGTGTCACCAAGTTGGTTTTTATATTTTTCATTTTCAAATTTCAATTTCTTTTGCATCAAAAATAAAAACCATCTTGTGTGGCCAAAGCAGTGATTTGCTGTTGGACGGCATAGAGTAGTGAGTGGTCCCCTTGAGCTTTTGCTGTACAAAATTATCAGCGTCCTACATGGACTATGCGGCGCTGCCCCTGTAAATTAGACCTTTTGCAGTTGATCCTGTTGGTCCTAGACGTGAAGATTTGTATCACTTGCTTAGCCCTATGCATAAATGTGCCTTTGATATTGCAGCATATTTGAAAAAAAAAAAAAAAAACGAAAAGCATAAATAATTTTTTTTTTAAATATTAAAAATAAAACTTTAAAAGTAGATTCTGCACAAGGGCTGCGCACCGCAGATTGGCAGAGAAGTTATAAGAAAAACTTTTTGTCCCCGAGAGTTTTTCCATTAGCGAGGGAAAAATGAGCGATTTGCCGTTGCAAAAAACAGCGATCGCGGGCTGGGTTTTGTAACTAGTTGTGTCGGTTACAGGCGGCCTAAAGATCACGGGTGGGACTCTGAGGATAGGTAAGGAAAGCCTGCTCTCTCTGTTCCTGCTGATAACCATCTTTAATTAAACCTCTCCGCAAAACCAACCCCCCGAAACCGCAGCTTTCTAGTGCACGAAACTCTATTTTCTTGCTCTTTCTCTCTGACAACTCCCCTGTCGCGCGCACGAACAAAAATGCCGCGGATTTAAATTAAAACCACGCGCGCGACACCCTCTGCTTGCTGATCTCACACGTAGTATACACGCATGTGGAATTCCGAATAAGAAAGTCGACTCACTCTCACTTTGATTGGCCCAAAGTGAGGCTTTTTAAACTAAACTCACCCTTGATAAATTAAATCAGCGACTGCTACGCTTTAGGAGCAGTTATTTTGGCCACTTACGGTCGCTTGTATTGATCTCCGATCGTATTGCAGCACCGATGCCTGGTACTACGGAGGAAATTATCAGAACCCGAATCAGCTGGAAGATCCAAGAAGTGGCGGCTTCTCAGACGGGGGCAGCAGTTACTACTCGTGCAATAGCAAAAAGACTACTAAAGGTACACAAATTATTTTAATAGTAAATATTTTTTTTTCTAATTCTTTTAATTACATATTTTTCATAATTTATATTTAAAATTCATTAAATTTTATTTTTTTATTCATGGTTAATTTGTTCATTAATTTTTAAGGCTCTATTTTTTTTTAAATGGATTATAATGAGACCAACTCTCAAATACTATTTTTAACACAAATAAATTATAATTTAATCTGAATCGCAGAAAATTTTTTTTGAAAAGATTGTTTGTAAATATAAAGCAATAAACTATTGCATTATATGTTAAATTTTTACTTGTAATGGAGGAGATAAAACACAAAAAGTATAATAGTCTAGCCACATTTACTGAAACTGATCTTTTTTGTTTTAATTGTGAATTTATTTAGTAGGACCGAATGGACAAAGAAGACCAAGCCTCGAACGGCAGACCACCCTGTATGACGACCAGTACTTGGCTGGCGACACCTACTACGAGGGCGCAGACACCTCTGGGGGTGCGACCGACACGTACAGGGACAACAGGTACTTTTACAGTGACCCCTATCATGACCCCCTTCAACAGCAGCACAGTAGCAGGCCGTCGTCCAGGTACTGCGCCCTCCAATCAAAAGCTTGTTGTAAAGTGTGAATGTGTCTAACTGAATAGAAATGTTCCTGAATATTTATTTAACGCATTTCCGACTTAAGTTGCTATCACGATTTCGACCTGGAAAAAGTAGCTGTTTGAATGTTATTTGAAGCAAGTGTGATTTGTTTTTTGTGTGCCTCTTTCCGCCACAAAAAGCATGCGCCTCTGTCCTCCTCTCAAATCTCTCTCTCACTCTTGGATGGGTCGTCTGTGGATCTTCTGTCCGTGAACAGGTAGTCTATCAAGTGTGGGCATGCACACGACTTTTCCCTCTCACTTTCTTCCGCCGCAATCACACACAAAATAACCACCTTGAAAACCACCTTGAAGCACACAATTCAAAGCAAAAGAACTTTTCTCTTCCAAGGCATTATTTTATTTTCATACACCACATATTTTCCTTCCGCGGTTCGATTTGCTTCTGCCGTTGGCAAGCGCCTTAAATTGATTGATGATTTGTGTGTTCCCTCCACTGGTACTAAGTTTGTTCTTCAAATTTCCTCACTTACTCAAACAACACAGGAAACATTGAATAATGCAAATTCTTGTTGCTGACGCTTTCAAGTGTATGTGACAATGCTTTCAATGTGCTTTGGTGCATTACCCTAGCCTAGAGAGAATTGTAGCACGATTTAATATGCACCCAGCACTTGTGACAACACCGGCCGCGACCTATATAAAGCATAGATGGAGTGCACCAACAATTATAATATGGCGCTCCTGGAAATAACGATAATTCTTGAAAAGGAAATCACAAAAGCAAGTTATTGAAGTGGGGCCCTGAATTTAACAAACCCAACGTTTATTCTCTTTTAATCTTTCACAAAGAGGTAAATTTTCTGCATTAATTCAATATAAATTCTCTTTATTTTTTTTTATTTTTTTTTTTTTAGGGTCAGGCCAAGACAAAGTCTTGTCGGCCTGTGCCCTTTTTAGTGGCGCAGAAGGCGCCACTCAATTTTGTCTTTTTTTTATTATTTTATTTTGGGTTAATCTTTATTAAAATCAAGCATCATTTATTTTATCTAATTATGCTAGAGATTTAAAAAATAAAAAATATGCAATATAATATATTTATACAGAGCTGGAGTAGATATGATGGAGAAAAATTAATTTTTGTCGGGTAGTGCAAGTTGCATACAAATCAGGATGCACTAACGTTACAAAATCCTGCAAAATCGATTTTTGCCAATACTCGTCGAGACGTTTAATCTCAATTTTGTGCAAAAGCAAGCGGATATTCATTAAAAGCTAGACTAGGAAAGCTTATCAACTATTTGCAACTCTCTTCCAATCCTTTCCGGCCGGCTGGATTGATCTCTTTTGAATGGCGCACTGACGACGAGTTTTATTTTCCGGTGGATTTGTTTCACTCGCGCCGATCGCAAAGCCAGTCTCTCTTTTGCAACTTTGATTAATCTAGCAGCTCGGGTAGTATTTGGAGCGTGCATGCACTCCAAAGTTTGTTAAGCAGTGGGCGATGGATGGGTCATTCATATCTGCTGCGGCTTATAGTCAGTCAGCCCCCAGTGCAGATTACTAGGTCGTTGTGTAACACAGGGCGCATGTGCTCTCGGGGTGTGTTACCCGCCGCTTGCCATTGATATCTTCCCGGCCGCTCTACCGCAGTGGCCCGATACCGAGTCAACAGGCGCGTTTTCAGATGGCAGCAGCTCCAAAGCGTGCTTATTGTTCTCCGCGACATTATTGATATTTTATTGCAAATCGACCAAAAATGCTCTCGGCAATAAAAAAAAATCAGCCTTCAGTGGAAATAAATTTTTTCAAATGATTTCTCAAGACGTAAAAAATCGTCTCAGTCGAAGAAAAAAAAGAGATTTATTAATCGATAAATCTGCCGGGGTCCCTTGTGTTTGCGAAACTTCTCACGAGACATTAATTCCATCTTTTTGCTCCGCTTAATCCGCCTCACATAAAAACACTCGGGCTGCTGCTGCAATTAGCCGAAATTTGCGAGCCATTAACTAAACAGAGGCTGCTCCATGTGTGTGTCTCGGCAGAAATAGGTCTGGGGCCATTTGGGACCCAAGTGCCATTTGTTCTTCAAGCCCTCGACTATCACGCTTCTCCATTTGGCTGTCTACGTACGTTGCTCCCCTAGCTGTTTCTGTCTCTCTTTACTCTCACTGTGCAGTAGTTGATGTAATAGAGCGTAGTGCACATACACACACTCACACGGTGTTGTAATCTAAATTGTTATTACGATAATATCATTTCTGACCCTAGAGCTAAACTAGAGGCTTTTTCTACCACTCGGTCGTATTGTAATGTCTCCAGGGCTTATTCTTACTCAAGACGTCACAGCCCAGATTATTACGGGCAGACGCTGGTCAACAATCAGGCCGAATATTCCTTGTACAGGCATCACAATGAGGACATAAGGTATTTGAGTGGATATGTAAAAAAAAAAAGAAAGAATAAAATAGGCCCCACTTGATGCGTTACATAGAGATCGATCTGCGGTCGCAATTTGAATAAAATAGCAGGCAGAACATACACGTAATATTATCGTAGATCCCAGTGGAATTGCTCTCTATTTACATTATCAGAAAACAACATGATCGTATAATAGGCTTATGAATTAAATTTGCATTAGTCTTTAGCAATAATTTAGAACCAAATATTTAAGCTACAAACTAGGCGAAAATATAGTACACGTTTTGGCATGGTTTTGCGGTGTGATACATTTTTATAATTAACTTGAAAATTTCTTCCCCACCATAATTTATTATTATCATTTTTGTTTTGTTTTTTAAAATTAACACAAAACTTATACAATTTTCTGAATTTCAGGTACGATGAGCAGGGTCAATGGGACACGAGCGGCGGCTTCTACGACGAAAGTGGCAGGGACCATTACGAGAACACAGTGAACAGTTCAAAACATTCGGTCGGGACGGGCCGCTTCGTGGACAACTCGTCGTCATATGCGCAGTATGACGGCGGCGGGGGCTACGGCGGTGAAGTGAACAGTGCAGGCGGCGAGTACAATAATTACAGCACCGACGAGCAATACAATGCGGCGCCGAGGGCACCGTCGCGGCGCACCCGCAGAACTAACAGTAGACAAAGTTCAATAGACCATGGTGACGGTGATATTATATCGAGCACAGACCATCAGCAGCAGCAACAACCCACCCCGAAGCGCGCCCTTCCGCAGCCGGGTGGAGTGCCTTATCCCAGACAGCAGCCCACCCCTCCTGCTGCCTCCCTCCCCCAAGTCCCCCCTGTGCAGAAGACGGCGGCGGTGCCGGTCGTGCAGAAGCCGCCAGTCCAAAAACAGCAACAGCAAAAACTCGCCCAGCAACAACCCCAGCAACAAATCGTCGACCAGCAGCAGTACTACTATGAAAATGAGTACGACGGGGGCTACTATGATCAGGACCAGACGATGGTTGCGGATCAAGGCTATGACCAGTACAGTCAACAGCAGCAACAGGAGTATGAGAAAATGGTCAAACAGCAGCAGCAGCAGGAATACGAAAATTTGGCCAAGCAACAGCAACTTGAGTATGAGAATTTGGCCAAGCAGCAAGAATATGAAAAATTGGCCAAGCAGCAAGAGTATGAAAAATTGGCCAAACAGCAAGAGTATGAAAAATTGGCCAAACAGCAAGAGTACGAGAATTTAGCAAAGCAGCAGGAGTACGAGAAGTTGGCCAAACAGCAACAGGAGCAGCAGCAGCAGTTTGACCAACAGACTTTAGACCAAGAGCAATATGGCCAGTACGACCAGACTTATGACCAGTACTACCAAGGACAATACGGAGAGCAATACGGCTACGGCCAGTACGACCCTGCGACGGGCGAGTACTACGGCCAGTACAACGAGGACTACAACTACGCCTATGAGAGCATGGACACCATGACTCCACCCACACAGGAGTCCTCGTTCAATCAGCAATACAACCAATACACTACCACGACGGCTGCTCGGACCACGGCCACCGCAACCACCACAACCTCGTCTTCTGCGTTCTCGATCAACACGGCCAGTGCGGCCAACACTGCCCTGTCCACGCTGGGCAACATCACCAGTCTGGGCAGCAAGTTGCTCAGCAGCGTCAACAAACCTGCGGCGACCTCAACGGCCGCCCCGACCACCACCACTAGTTCCTTATTCTTCAGCAAGCCGGTCGCACCGGTCGTGACCACAAGTTCAGCGGCGCCCGTCACCTCGTCCAGACCGACCTTTACCTCCTCCACCAACACGTTCACCAACACCTTCAAAACAACCACCTCCTCGGTTCCGACCCTTCCGAAGGTCACGGTCAAAGAGCCGGAGCCGCTGTTCAAAGAGGAGCCGCTGTTCACGGCCGATTCGCTTTACAAAGACGATCCGCTGTTTGCAGATGACCCTAGATTCAGGGACGATGAACCTTCCTTGTTCAAGGATGAGCCGCTGTACAAGGAGGAAAAGGGTGATTATCCGATGACCGACACCTTGGGCCAACTGGGCGAGGACGATTACTTTTATGACACTAGCGAGTACGCCTATGATGACAGTTATTATGGGAGATATGACGAAAATGAGAGTTACATGGACGAATCGACCTACGGAGAGAACAAAGACCTTCTCTCCTCAGGTCAATATCCGTACAGGCAGGACTCGTTTGAGTCGAAGGAGACCGACTACAGGGCGGACTCGTTTGACACTGCCATTTCCTCCTTCAGCCCCAGACCAACGACGGCGCCTCCCACGTCAACCACTGCCACAACCACCACCACCAAGCCCCCTCAGCAGACGATGCCCACTTCCATTCCGAAGCCCTCCCTGCCCAACCTGGGCGCCTCCCTGAAGAGCGCGGCGCCCATGTTCGGCAAGTTCACGTCCGCCATGTCTTCGCTGGGGGCGGCGGTCAGTTCGGTCATTCCGCAGAATATGCAGCCCCCGGGGGTGGTGATCAACCCTGCGCAGAACGCAAACACCGTCACCAGGACGCAGAGGGCCACCCTGCGGACGCAGGAGTCGATGGAGAGTATGCACATGCCGGACGACTACATGAGAGACGATTTGAAAGTGGGACCAACCCTCAAGAGGGAGCCATCAATTATGAAGCGGGAGCCTTCGATCGATAGATACAGCGAGCATGGAGACTTGATGAGAGAATCGTCCTTGGACAGGTAAAATTAAAAGAATATGAAAAAAAAAACATAAAATCTTAAAATTAACAAGTTACTAAACTTAATATATTGTTTCACATTAAATTTAAATTTTGACACATTCATAATTTAAATTTTTTTCATATGTTTCATTAAATATCACTATCTAGACTGCAACTATAATTCACGTTACACTAGAACTTTTGAAAGAAACACCTTAACACAAATATAAATTAATTTGCTTATTCACTTTTTCTACATTTAAACAGTTAGTCTTTCATTATGTCCACCATGACCCTCACCCTTTCATTTATGTATTATAAAATGAACATTCATTTTTTATTCATTCTAAAAGCTGTTTCCATTAAATTCATAAATCATGTTCATGAATGTCATTCTTTCTCTGCATACTCAAAGAATCAGAAATTTAATCAGTCATTCTGATTTCTTTCTCCCACAAAAAGAGTTGCAGACAATGATGCATCCAATATTACCAAAGATGAAACAGGGTGAGCCATTTTTATGCTTTCAGTACAATAGAAACCAAAACTAACGATCAGTTTTTTAAGGAAACAAAATATTTCAATGCAATATGTTATTATTCAATTCAGTAATTGATTCTTATTTTCTTATCCCCCAAAAAAGAGCTGCAGATAATACTATATCCAACATTACCAAAGACGAAACAGGGTGAGCTATTTTTATTTTAAACACTATAGAAAATAAATGAAAAAGTTCATTGTTTTTTTTAAAGCAGCAAAATATAAATTAAAATAAATATTTGAATTCAATTTTTCTCTGCTATATAGTCAAAATTAAATTTAAGTAAATTTTGACTTCAAATTAATTTATCAATAAAAAATTAACAAATTTGTGTCTAATTCCTTTTAACTTTAAATAATTTTGAGTAACTGTAGCTTAAAAAAAAAAAATAAATTTAATAATTTATTCCATTTTCCTCATTTCCCAAAAAGGGTTGCTGCAGATAATACATGCAATATTACCAATGACGAAACAGGGTGAGCTATTTTTATTTAAACACAATAGAAAAGATATGAAATAGTTGGAATTTTAAAAGTGGCAAAAAAAAAATTAAAAGCAATATTTAAATTTCATATTTTTCTGCCACATGATCTAAATTTACATATAAATATTAATGCGCAAATAAATTTCTAATTAATCTTTTAATAAAAAAATTAATAATTTTCTATCTAATCTATTTTAACTTTAAAATAATTTTGAGTAACTGTAGCTTAAAAACAAATAAAATTAATAATTTATTCCACTTTCCTCATCTCCCAAAAAGGGTTGCTGATGATAATGCATGCAATATTATGAAAGCAGAAACAGGGTGAGCTATTTTTTACTTTTTACAAACACAATATATTATAAAATAACAATGACAACAGTTTTTTATTAATTTAAATCATAAAATTCAAAGTGAAAGTAATTATTAGAGTTTCTTTAACATTTTGATTAAAAACTTTAATAATCATAAATTGCTGAGCTTAATTTTTTTTTAATTGAGATTAATTTACTTGGCAATTCACTTTCTATAAATATATTAGATATAAATTTTATAAACTTAATTACATATTAATATATTATATTAAATCAAAATAATTTAATAATTTATTCAAATTTCCTTGTCCCCCCATAAAGCGTTGCTGATAATGCATGCAATATTACCAAAGAAGATATAGGGTGAGCTATTTTTTTTACGTATCTGCAGTATGTACATGGATTCAGATAACAAAAGTCGAGAAAATAAATTTCTGCTACACAAAAAAAAAAACTAAATGCAAAAATTTAACCTAAAACCTTTTTAAAACAGCTTCTAAAAGTTTGTATGCTAAAATTCTCCTGATGGAAAAAAACATTTAATTTATGATATTTTTTCGTCAAAATATAATTCCCGTAGGCCGTAATTTAGGAGTTAAAACATGAGAGATTATTTAATACTATATATTAATCAATTTTTATTTTCCTATTCCACAAAAAGAGTTGCAGATGATATTGCATGCAATGTAACAAAAGACGAAAAAGGGTGAGATATTTTTGTTTTACTACAGTATGCAATAGAGAACAAATTAACAAGTATCAGTGAGCTTAAAAATTGATTTTTATTTAACAAATTTTCTTGCTAAACTGCTATGATTTTAATCCTAACATTTGAACTATGAAGTATATTGCTTTTTTATAATTTTCTGCAATATTTATGAAATATTTACGGTTTTAATCAAAGTTTTGACGATTTGTCTTTAGATATGACCGTGACTCGCTGGGCCGGGATCACTCCCTGGACCGATACGATGACAAGCTGATGCGCGAGTCTTCGCTGGACAGGCAGGACTCGCTGATTGACCCCTATGACACCGAGCGGCAAGACTCGTTTGACCAGTACGACTCGGACGAACGTGAAAACTCGCTGGACAAATATGAGCCAGGCAAGCTGCGCGCCTCCCTGGACAGGTACGACTCGGACACCCTGCGCAGGGAGCAGTCCATGTACGAGACGGACGACCTGATGATGGACGAGCCGCACGACAACAGCCTCATCCAGCCGTACCAGCCAACCCAGTCGCCCGCAATCGAGTCGCCGGAAAAGGCGCTGATGGGACAGGCCGGCAAAGACAACATGATGGAGGACGAGCGGATGACCAAGGCAGAGAAAGCCGCCGCCAAAAGCGTGTCCTTTGAGGAAGAGGAGAAAAAGCCGATGCCTGAGAGGAAAAAGATGAGCGCCAAGGAGCGGTGGCACTGGGCCTACAACCGGATCATCATGCAGCTCAATGTGAGTACCATTTTTGCATTTTTATATTTCTTTGGAAACTTCCTCAGAGCAAACATTTAAAGTTTGGAATAGGCGAATCTTTTTAACTTTTTAAAGGGATATTGAAAATTTTAATACCAAACTGGAAAGAAATTGTAATTTAAATACTTTAAACAAAATCACAATTAAACATATTTCTTTTAAACGGAAACTTTGGATATATTTCCAAATTTTAGGATTTTTAAACGGCATAGAATTTTTTAGAATTCCAAATTGAAAATAGAATGATTTGAAACTATAAAAACGGCAATGCTATTGTTATCATAAATTTATTTTGAATATATTGGAGCTTGAAAACTTACCAATAATAAAGTTTTTTTTTAAATCGACAGAAGATATAAGTTTAAAACATGAAAAGCATTTTAGTGAATGTTTTTCATTTTTAGAAATTAAAATTTGTGAAAAATAATTTTCTTAGACTGATTTTTTGATCGGTACTATTTTTTCAATTGAACCTGGTTTGCACCAGCTCATTAATAACGTTCAAGCCCACGCGCCGTTTTTGCCAATTAATTGTGTGCGACTGTCACTCGCATCCTCTGCACCGGAGTCTTTTTTTGAGCACATACGTGACGAAATCTGAGCGAATCGGCGATAATTAATTACGTTTTAGCAAACGTTATCTCACGCGTCAGCAAACTTGCTTATTGTTGGATCTTATTGTGTTGCCCTGTGTTAATTTGCGGGTGTGAATTTTCAATTAGAATCGTGAGCACTCACAATCAGAATGCAGGAGACGGTGACGCAATTTCTGGTTGCCATGGCACTTGAATCTTGTCATTATTTCAGCGACTCGTTAAATTATTTTTAATTACACGACAGAGTTAATTATGATTTATTTTATTTAAAACATAAAAACTTATTATTCATTTGTATACATTTAATGACTTTTTTCTTTGTTTTGCAGTTGTATAATTTTTGTTTATTTTATTTTATTTGTCTTTAAAATTTAAGATTTTTTTTTTGAAATAATTATATATATATATATATTTTTTTTTTAAATTATGCAACTCTACATTGAAACTTATTATAAATAGAATAGCAGAAGAAATTAAATATTATTTATTAAGGTGTAAATTGGCAGGGTTGCAAAGACTAAAGTTACATTCTTAGTTGCTGTGTCTGTGCTAGCTTTATTTTTCATCAATGAAGGGATTTTAAAATCATCATGCAGCATCGTAAAAGTTGTTAAAATAAAACTAGAAAATGAGGAATAAGGAAATTCTAGGAAATAATGCCGTTTCGTTTGACAAATTGAGTGTGAATAAAAGTGCGTCATCATTGCCGGCAGGAAAAGTATCTGCATTTGTACTTAGGGCATTAGTTGGGTTTTTTACGAGCTCTGGAGAAATCACCTGCCACGATAAATCAAGAGCGGGTTGATTGTGCGTTCGAGTGCAGTTCGGGTCGCGCGCGCTCAGACCTTGCTAGGTGCGGCAAGGCCGCGCAAGGCCATGCGGGTCTCGTCGCAACACTCAGTCAGTCATTAGCCTCACTTTTGACTTTTACTTTCCTACTCTCGCCCACGCACACTCTCGTTACACACCCCTGCAACGAAATGCACTTTTCTCACTCCAAGAGAGAGGAAATTACCCCCGGCTAATTGAACTTTGACCTATGCGCCTTGGTTTTGTTTTCCAGAATGTTTCCTTCATTATCTCGGGGGAGAAACGCAATTCCCACAGCTTATTCGCTCTTTTGTTATGGAAAAGGAGATAAAACCGTGGGAACAAATACCTTTTTAATGAAAAAAAAGCAGCTCTCTCTTGTTCGAGTTTCTGTCTCATTATGCGCGCGCGATATACAAAGCGCACGTTGCGCGTTTTTCAATTGTTGAATGATGCATTAGGATAATTAACCTACTTTCAAAACGTGACACAAGTAGCGCGCTTTTTCACAGAGCAGTAAAATAATTTCTCGCTCCGCCGATTGCAACACATGCTAATTCCGAATCAATTACTTTGCCAGCAGCTAAAAACAACAATTTGCGCTTTTTCGATTCGCTCGAGCAGAAATAGAACATGGCGAATTTTTTAATTAAGCAAAACAAACATACAAACAAATTGAAAATGTGCCATTTACAAATATAAAACCAATTATTCTCTTCAAATGGAAAAATTAATTAGGATTGAATTGAATTTGTGGAGAAAAGATATTGAAAATTTAACTTAAGCTACTTAAATCAATTTGCATTTAATTTCAAAAGTTTATAAATTTATAATTTATAAAATTAATTTATTTCACTACAGTCAAATAATTTATGCAAATTTTCACGTGGCATAGGAGAATATGTGCACTAATAAGGATTATTATTTCCTCTGCTTAAAAATGATTTTTACTAACATCGATCAATCCACGAAGAAGCATCAAAACGTGTTGGACATTTATTAGCGTTTTCAAATAAATATAAATTTCCCCGTTGACCATTTTTCTTGATTAAAGAAGTGATATAGGCGGACAATCGCCTGCGACGGACGGCTTTGCGAGTTTGCAGCCTCTGGTCCGCACCGTCTGCCGTTTTTTCCCAAATCGCGCGCAAATAGGATCAAAGCGGGAAGCGGAGGCTGAAATAAAGGGCTGACTCTACAGGCCAGTGATTTTATTTGCCGTGCCGCTGGAGCAAAATGAGAGGCGCACTTTGCCGACGCCCGCCAACCCCCGCGGACGCCTAATGGAAGACGCGTGTTGCGTCCCGCTGGCCTCTCGACGGGAGCGGCGCGAGTTGTGTCACTCGCTCGCCCGCACCCCACAGCATCAGGTGGTTGCGCTCGCCACCCTCGCGAAGACTCCAGAGGCTTCCCCCCGGAGAATTTCGTCATATCGGCTGCAGATTGGTATAGAGATTGAATATTGATTAGATAAATTTTCCCAAAACATTTTTCCTTCATTGTTTCTGGCTTTGAAAATTTCAAAATTTATTTTAGATTTATGAAAAAAGGAAATGATAACCTGGATGAAATTTAATTATTTTATTAAAATAAATTATAAAATTGTAATTAAATTGAGTAGTTCAAAAATACTGTTGATAATTCATTTTTCAAGACTAATTTATATTATATTTTATTTTGCTTTGAAAATATTCAGAAATGCAATTGTTATGTAATTTTTCTTTTTGCACATGTCATACTTTAATTATAATTTTAATTTGATTCACCTTTTTTTAATTATAAGAATATAGTTGTTTTGAATCAATTTATTATTCGCCCAAGCCCTTCCTTCAATCAACCCTTCTTAAACATGCTTTTGATCTGCAGATATACCAACAGTCTCTGTCACGTTACGTTTTGATTAACGAGCAAACACTGAGGATAAAAGCCGTGTATTTCCCCAATTCCGAGAGAGAGCCAATCACGAAAGAAGTGTGGGCGAGCAATCGTCGCCAGAAGATTGCACAATAACCTTGCATGTGCGTACGCCATGCGGGCCTGGTGGGGATCGCGGCTCGTCACCGCCATCGGCCGCCGCGCCGCTCAGTGAACACGCGTCCGTCGAGCGTCCAGGACACCTTCGAAATGTCCAGCGCCGACTTCCGATCGTACGAAGAGCGAATATGCACCCAGTTCGCCTTGCTCTACCCTCTGCGCGCCGGACTCTTTGGGGTCAAGTCCGGGTCATCCACTTCGCTTCCGGCGCCCAACAAACTCGAACCCAGACCTCCAGTCAGTGTCCGGGAACGCAACCGGATGTGCCGCCGTCGCGGCTCGAGCATGTCTGAGCTGGACAGGGTGCAAATCGAGCAGCTGGAGCGCGGCCGGCTGGATGAGGAGGGCGAGGAGGAGGCCACCGACGACCACCTAGAGCCGCTGTCCCTGTGTTCCGGACACCAGCGGACGTCCGGCTATGACACGGCGCCGCACAGTCCGGCGCTGCACCGTCGCGGCTTCCTCGACAGCGCCGACAACGTGCGCGGAAGTATCGGCGACTTAATGAACTTGAAGCAGTATGGCAGTGTGTGGAGTGTCCGTAGCGCGACCGAGAGCATCGCACACGCTGTCCCGCTCGCCACCGTCACCTCCAAGAAGCCCTCCATGGATCCTGATGAGGTCAAGCATGTCAAGGTGCCGATGCCGGCTCCGCGGGCATCGCCCAGGGTCTCGCCCAGGGCGTCGCCGCGATCCGCCTCTCCCATGGAGGACGACGAGCTGCCGCCCTTGACCAGGGCAAACCGACCGATGACCACCGTACAACGCACAGAACGCCTGTCCAGACTCATCAGAGACACAAATCGAGCTGGAGTAAGGCGCAAAAATGTGAGTTAAACACGCAGCTTGTAAATTTAATCGTGTTTACAATCAAATTTTTATATTCGTAACGTAAGAAATAATATGATTTAAGATAATGAAAAAAAACAAAACAACGTTTTGAGATATTAGTCTTAATCACTTATTCAGAATATATTAAGTGAAATGGTTGCATCAATATATAATTTTTTTTTAATTTTTATAAATTTGAATCTAATTTTGTTAGTCAATCTTATTTAAAAAAATTAAAATATTTCACGTTTTGAAAGAAAGAATAAATAAAATAAAAATAAAATAATACAATTTAAAAGGATTTATAAAGTTTATTCATAAAACGCGGTAAATTAAACATTAAAATATTAGATTAGATTAGATAATTATATCAATACTTTTGTTAATTTTAAATATATGTGGTAATTTTTGATTTTGCCTAAAAATAATACCCCAAGCACAATATTAATTATGCATTATTTATTGCATTTCAATTTTATTGTAAAAACTACTCACAATTAAGCGAAATTATAGAAAGAGCTGGAATCAAGTTTTCTTATCAGAAAGGTCAGATCGATGGGGGAAGGGGGGAGTTCTTACTACAAATCACCCGTTTAAACTTCACAAACTTTCTGGTTGCTTCATCCTCATAAAATCAGAAACGCCATGTATTTTATTTAATAAGAAGTTTTCCTGGTAAATACCAGTAAATACAAGGAACAGTGAAAA